AGGAAACTTGGAGTCGTTTAGGACGTGTGGCTATTTCCACTTGCTGGAGGAACCCAAAGCTGTGCTCATTACTTCCTGTCGCATTTTCACGTCTGTTCTTAATAAAATGCCCTGACCAAAGAAGCCTCTTCAGGGAGAAGGGGTTCATCACTGCAGGGAAGTCACAGAGGCAGGAGCGTGAGTCAGCTGGTCACATCACATCCACAGTCAAGAGCAGAGAGGAACAGGTGCCCCCACACTGCCTGCCTGCTTGCTAACTTCCTTCAGTCATACAGTGTTCAGGCCTAGAGAATGGTGCCACCCTCAGTGGGCTGTGTCTTCCAATGTCAGTTAACGCTCAACACAATCCCCCATTGAAATGCCAAAACCAAGCTATCACAAGAAGAGTGAGCTGCAAAGGTGGTGTCTGTGCCCAAATGAAAACCCCCGAGTCTGTTTGATTGTGGAATCTGAGTTATTGCTCACCTTTCTGTTTATATTGATGATGTGCATCCTGACTGACAGATGGTAACTGTACATGTGTATGGGTCACAATGTGGCATTTCAGTACATGCATGTAACATGTTCTGATCATATTAGGATAGCGCATATCCCGTTCTCCAAGCTAACTGTATTCTGACTTTCATGTCACCAACAGGTCACTTTAAAATAATGCCAGAAATACGGAAGTGACAAAGTGCGAGTGATAACTCTGGTATGGAATCGTGGGAAAGGTGGTGCTGTAAGGATGGTAATAATTCTCATTTTTGTGTAAAATATAAGGTGTTCTGATCACCTCCTTTTTGGCCTATAATGCCTTACATCGATAGCAGTGTTTGAAGTGATCAACAACTTTAATAATTCCATATTTGATTTGATAAAGTGTAAGCTTCATGCTCTGTCTGTAATACACCAGATGACACAGAGAACCTTTGTGTTTGTGTGGAGTGTCATTGTCAGCTCTGCCGAGGCCAGAGTGGCAGCTCACAGAGGACGGCGCTCTCGTGTGTTGCGCTTTCCTGCGGAAAAGTCAGGTGACTCCTGGGTCTGCTGACGTGGAGCCCTGTGCAGCAGGGAAGACGGGCCTCTGCACAGTGGAGTGGAGATGGGTAGCTGGAGGAGAGGCTCCTGGGAGGAGCCTACAAGGCCCGAGCCCAAGGCCAAGGCCTGTGAGGTAGAAAACGAGTTAAACGGAAAAATGGACAAAGATCCAGTGTGTGTGGAAGGAAGTCCAGACAACACCCTGAGATGACTTAGGGTTTCCCCCAAAAGAATCCCTGAACCAGCAGTGCGGACTCTCCTCAGCTCTCCAGGTTGTCAACAGAGGTCCCGGCTCTCACCTTTCACTTCCCTTTCCTCGGAACACAAAGTGACTCTGGGAGCGTTTCTGTCACCTCCACATCCCATACAGAAGGGGAAAGGTGCTGCTGGCTGCTTTGCCCCTATAAAGTACTTTCCAAACCCCCCTTCCGATCACTTGTTACATCTCAGGGGCCAGGAAAGTGCCAGAGGCCATCCCACTTCCTAGAGAGAGCGAGGACTGTTTTTCTTCATTTTCAGTTTTTCTTTTTCTTTCCTGGTTGTCTTTAGACTTAACGCAGAGTAAGACTTGAGAAGAGGCATCAGTCCTCCTCCAGGGTAGTGTTGTGTGGGTTTGGTTTGTTTGCACAGTGGGGGTGAGAAGACAGAGGAGGGGAGGATGCAGGGCAGAGGCCACAGGCAGTCTGGGTCTGAGGGAGATGGAGGCATCCTGAGGAGGGCCCAGCCCTCGCCAAGGGTCGATGATGAGAGTCTGTGCAGATGTGGATGAGTCATTTCTGCAGTCAGGGTTGGGTGCTGACAAAGGCCCTGGATCACTCCAGCACACACAGAAATTAATGTCCTTGTAAATATCTGCATGTGTGGTTATGGTTTGTACTAAGGACCAAACTGATTTTACCGTGTCACTTGCCCCAAGGACAGTAGCGGGCAGTGTAGGACCTGAAGTTAGTGATACACCTTTGCCCTGTTCAGCAACTCATTTAAAACACTAAAGGCACCATTATAAAGAAAACTCATGTTTCACTGTGCACTTCTCAAGAATATGAGGCCTCAGACTGGAAATCCTCCTGCTTCCACCTCCTAAGTGGGGATTACAGATGCAGAGCCACACCCAGAGCATATGTTATTTCTGTTTGGGGACAGGTTCTTTCCTGTATTGCTCAAGTTGCCTTGAGTCACGTGAGCACTGTGACTCACTAACATGGGGCACATAGATGGTGTGACGTGTGTCCTGCTTTCTGTGTTAGTGCTGAGGATTTCCTTTCTTCCTCCTAGTTGCTTGTATTCAGACTTGGTACTTTCCAGGGTATGAGGAGGAGGAGTCTGAAACATTTGCAACAATAGAATGGACAGTAGACACATGTGGGGACTTCCTATCTGCTTAGCTGTGAACTTTGGCCTCCTTCTGCCATGTTATTCCTAATACTTCACTCTTGGGTGTCTTAGAACAGAGTGAACTGAAATGCCACCAAGTTTGAACTTAGTTCTAAGCAACTCTCTTTCTCCTGGAATTTGTGAATACAGGGTGTATTCAGTTCTCGAGGAGAGAAGATCCTCATGGCTGATGCTGATGGAGCCACAAAGTTTCCAGATGTTGAGAAATTAAAAAAGGGGCTGAGTGATCTCCGGCCATGGCCTGTAAGTATAAGAACTCACTGCACGTGATAGTCAGGAGCATAGGGCTCAAAAGTGAAGTCAGAATTTACCTTAAGTTGAACTTTCTCTTTGTTTAGAAACAGGTTCTCACTGTGTAGAGCAGGCTGGCCTTGAACCCACAGAGATCACCTTCCTCTGCCTCCCAAGCGCTGGGATTAAAGGTGTGCGCCACGCACCCAGCAGAGTCCTCTTAATAAGCATGACTAGCTGTCTGCAAGCTATGCGTATTCTGAACCCCTCAATAGACTTTACAAATACTATAGTAACATATTTGTAAATATTATTATTTTCAAAGTGTTTCTAAAGGTGAGACATTCACATTGAAAATGGATGTATTGATGTGTGATACTTAAATATTAAAAAGAATGGTGGTGTTGTCTTTTCCCCAGGATCAAATGGCCATCGCTTGTGGGTCTTGTGCTCATCTGGAGAAAGAATCGATTGCTCAGGTGAGGCTTCCCCGAGCTGCCATGGACAGTAGCTCGTTAACCTTCAACCCCCTGTTACATGCACATGCACATTTTGTCAGATATGGGTTCCTGTGTTTTCTCTCAAAAATGAGCTTCCCTTCAACTTCATTGAATTTGTGGAAGATTAGCTTAAGTGTACACAGGACAAGTGAGGCCTTACCTTACAATGTAAGTGTTCTCAGAATTGTTTCTAAGATACAGAGATGATCATTTGATCAAGACAGACTTTTCTAAAGAAAAATTGATTTTTGAAGATTCTTTCTCTCTCTGTGTGTGTGTGTGTGTGTGTGTGTGTAGGTACCCACAAAGGCTAGAAGAGAATGTCAGATCCCCTGGAGCTGAAATTACAGGCAGTGTGAGCTGCCCAAGTTGGTGCTGGGATCTGAACTTAGGTCCCACAGAAGAGCACTGAGTCATCCCTTTAGCTCTGTGTCTGTTTTTAGCCTGCCCGATTGCCCTCAGTGTTTCCTATACTGGCGCATATCAGTGACCACTGTGTTGAGCACTCCTGGTCCAAAATCCAAAATTTTGAAGGCCAACATGATGCCATGAAGGGAAATGTGTCCCATATGTAGATTACTTTAAAAATAACCTTTTGTATATTTGCCTAAGGTTGAAATGGAACATGAATCTCACAGTTAGACTTTCCCTTTCCCCTGTCTAATGTGTGTGTGTGCATGAATAAAATATTCTAAATTATGAAAAAAGTATAAACTCTGAGATATTCCTAATCCCAAACGTTTATGATAAGCTCTATTCAGAGTGTATTTTGAGTTTTGTTGAGTTTAAATATTTCTCATTTCATGTCTATGAAGAAACCACTTAACTGCAGATTGTCAGACTCATGACATATCCTTTTAGAAAGATACATGTCACCAAAGACTGCAGGTGGAGGCTGCTCTTTTGTAGATCATACTGAAAACGCCAGAGCAACTCACAGGATAAAACATTTCAGTGAGGAACTCGTGTGTGTGTGTGTGTGTGTGTGTGTGTGTGTGTGTGTGTGTGTGTGTGTGTGTTAGAAGTCGCAGTCAGAGAATCAGAGTTTTCTCTTTCAAATGGAGATCTTGAGTGTGAAGTCCATAACCGTCATGTTCACAGTGGTTCTTCACCGAGAGTAGAGAAGAGCCAGTGTCAGTGTGTGGCTGAATTACCTGGGGAGGGATTTATAGTGTGTAACCGCAGCCAGTCCATCACTGAGTCAGACTCTAGAATGAGACCAGGGCCTGCCTTTGCAGCAGGCCACAGATCTATACATGTTAATTCTACAACTATTAAAATAAAATTGAATGTCTCCCTCCATGATTCTGAAATGAGGTAGGAGGAGAGTTTAAACTCTATCAAGACAGGGACAGCAAAGTTGCGAACCCTCATGAGCATGGAAACCAGACTCCTTTGTTGAAGGGCAAGGCAGCAGACTTCACTGGGAAGCAGGGAGACAGCTCTTGCAGTTGGAAGGGACTCCAGCATGAGTTTCCCTAGACACTCGTTTTTCAGAAATAAGCCTTTTTTACAAGATTTTTTATCTTTATTTTATGTATATGAACGTTCTGCCTGTGTGCATGTCTGTGTCCTGCATGTATGACTGACTCTTACAAAAGAAAAGAGGGCACTAGATCCCTGGAGCTGGAGTTGCAGATATTTGTGAACCACAATGTGGGTGCTAGGAAGAGAATCCAGGACTGCTGCAAAACAGCCAGGACCTTAATCACTGAGCCATCTCTCCAGCTCCAAAATAAACAGTTTTTGATATCTACTTAATATTCTATGTCCCATGCAGTTCTTATTAATGAACTGCTATAAGCGAAAAGAAAATATTAAAAAATTAGTATGTATATATGTATGGTTATGACTAACATAAGAAAAACTATATACAAAAGTACAATAACTATATACAATATATACAAGTAATAAATACCTAAACAATGTCTAGTTTATTTGTATTTGACAAATTCAGAGAAAATAATTCCATTATCTATCCTATTTTGATAAATCCAAAATGTATCTAATTCACTTTCTATCCTAATTAATCTTCAACTATAACTAACTAATCTTCAACTCCCTCAGAGATCCAAGAAGGAAAATAATATTACCTAATAAAAAATAAAAACAGGAAGTGCATGCAAGCAGCTTCCAAAAAAATTGTGAGTTGACAGAAACAGCCAGCTGCTTGGACAGTCACCTGAGGTTTCTCCGCAGTGTTGGGGCATCATCTTCAGCCTATAGGCTTAGTGTATCGGACAGACTCATTTGTGAAGTAGGATGTACACCAGGTCAATAGTTCCACTTCACATTGGGTGAGAGCAGTCCATGTACCAGAAACACTTGAATTCCACTAGTGTCATGTCATTATGGTGATAATTTATTTGTACTTAATTGTGATTTTATTTGTATGTTAATAAATAAAGTTGCCGGGGTGGGGGTCGGGGGTCAGAGCTATTAGAGCCATAGCAAAAGCTGGGCGGTGGTGGTGCATGCCTTTAATCCCAGCACTTGGTAGAAGAGCTAGGTAGATCTCTGTGTGTTCAAGGATACAGCCAGCATTAGAGACACATGTCTTTAATCTCAATACCAACCATAGAAGACCTGGAGGTCTGTATAGACAGGCAGTGACGATGCAGTCATGTGTTTGGGTTTACAACTGAGAAGCCAGAACAGAAAGTCTATATAAAGATAAACACACAGGAAGTAGCTCTCTCTTGGCTGAAGAGACTAGCTGCAGCAGATGGGTAAGGCTCTTAGCTCTGATCTCTTGGCTTTCTTCTTTGCATTGGTTCTGTGTTTCTTATTTAATAAGACGGTTGGTTACATCTACATGTCATGATTCAGGATTTTAAATTCTGGAAATTGTTGATGGATTTTTAATTCAGCTGTTCATTCTTCTTGGCTGTGTATATGTGGCTTCATCTCCACATTCTTCTCCACATCCCTCTATTAAATGCCAGTCTACTATTGAGAGGCATGAGCTTAGTTACTCTTCAAGAATAACTATTTCAGCTGCTGTTCCACTGCACATCAGAAGCCATCGGCCCACTGCCTGTTCAGCTGCCTTTGAAGAAAAGGGCACTGTACCTTTTCCGGATTGCAAAGGCCACTTCAGGGATGGTGTCATATTGTCCTGGCCTCAGAAGATGCCTTTTGATAAAGCCATAACCACACTTGTTTTGGCAAGAATCAGTAATCCTTTATTTCATGTCTTGTCTGTCCATTTTGCTCTGTTGATTCAAGGATACTTTGTTGTCCAGTGGCTAACTTTTGCCACAATGAAAAACTCCATATGCAGTTTTTTCAATGCCCATATTTTCTCTGAAGTAGATTGGTACTGCACGCACAAATGTGAAGAACCAAACATAGTCACAGTGATACTGGAGAAACAAAGCAAATGCATTGAAAGCCCCCTGGGTACCTGCCCAGTGAGGTTTTCTTCCCCAAGTCCAAAAGAGATGCTACAGGCAGCTGGGATCTAATCTGAGGGATATCAAATGAATCTACATACACTGAGCTTTTTTAGTCCATTCACTTTATTCTTCTAAGTCAATTCTACCAGTGTCATGGGGGTACCAGTCTGTATACACTTACAAGCAGTAAGTCTTTGGCAATGCAATGTGAGGATTCAAGTTTTCAGGATCATAGAGAAAGTTGATAAGATCCATACATAGAGCAGTAATTGTCAGCTTTCATTTACAACCCAAAGGGGAAGTGACTAATGGAGTTCTCTGGTAGGGTCAGCTAAAATTGGCTAAAATTAGAGGAATATATGTGCTCAGACTATATTCTCAGAAGTGGCTAGGTGAAAGGTTAGGAGTCCATATGTTAGTAAAAGTCACGAGTAAAGTAAATTGTCTTTTTTCCTTTGGGGCCGCTACTGGGTCAGGTATCTTGGCAGCACCATTTTCTGGCAGGGCGGGGGATGTGTTCTCAGTTACTAGGCATGTGCCCTGTGTAACAACATGTAGCATTTGGTTCATAAATGCACTTTCACTCTGAGTCATGGCTAAAGGGAGGAATCTCTAGAACTAAGAATAACACCTGGGCTATGGAATTAAAGAGGAGGATTTAAGCTTAATTTGCACAAGAAACAAAGCTTGGCACCTATCATCCGCCTGGCGTTGGTGGTTGTCTCATTGGGTCCGTGGAAGTATTTACCTTATCTCAGTAACTAGCAGATGGCCATCCTGGTAATTGTAAGCAGTAAATTTGTTAAATTAGGGTCTTGTGTTAATAAACCAGAGTGAAGGTAAGGAGTTAAGGATTTAAGGTTAGTGAGGTTAGCTTTTCTTATCTGTAGGTGAGATGAGCTGTCCTTAGATGTTTGGAAAGTGTCTCAGTTGAAATACTTTTGTCTGGAGATGGCATTGGCCAGATATCTGCTAATGAAGATGATTGTAGAAAGGCAGACTCTAAGTCTATGCTAGAATAAGAAGAACAAAGGCCTGATTATGGGGAAGAGGTCTTTGTGGTGATATTTTATTTGTGCTCTAACAAATAAAATTTATCTGGGGATCAGAGAACAGAACAACCACTAGATTAGACATAGATGCCAGACAGTGGTGGCACACATGCCTTAATTCCTGTCACTTAGGAGGCAGAGATCCATCTGGATCTCTGTAAATTTAAGGCCTCACTGGGAACAGAGCCAGGCGTGGTAGCACACACCTTTAATCCCAGCACTTGAGATTTCATGTCTTTGCTTGGGGAGGACACATGCCTTTAATCCCAGGAAGTGATGGCAGGAAGCAGAAAGGTATATAAGCCATGAGGACCAGAACTAGAGGCTTTTAAGCAGTCAGCTAAGACCCTTTCGGGTGAGGACTCAGAGGCTTTCACTCTGAGGATTCATGGAAACAGGATTGGCTGAGGAGTTGGCGAGGTGAGGTTGGCTGTGACTCTTTCTGTTTCTCTGATCTTTCAGAATTTACCTTAATATCTGGCTCTGGATTTTTTATTAATAAGACATTCTAAAATTTATCTGATTTGTAGTTATATGCCCTTGTGAGTGCTTGCAGCCATGAAAACTAGAAAAGGTGGTTAGATGCTTGAGGCTGAGATTTCAGGCAGTTGTAGAGCAACAGGCTTGGGTGATAGAGACCCAACTCAGGTCCCCTGCAAGAGTCCTATTGACACCTGAGACATGTATCTCTCCCCCTGGAAATTTCTTACTGTTAACCTGACTAAATTTTGATTTACCTTGTACACACACACACACACACACACACAACCTCCAGGCATGTCTGTGTATTTCTAGACAGCCTTAAATGAGGTAAGTCTTCCCAAATGCATTGATGCATGTCCCAGATTGGCCAAAAAGATTACATAATGCTGAAATCACCTAAGCACCAGTTTTCATTTCTTTTTGCAAACACACTGCTATTCTCCAAGGTCTCTGCTTGGAGTGGAGATTCTAGGGTCTTTGCATCTTACTAAAATATTTTGTTAAAATTTCATACATATTGCAAAGAAAAAGAAACTACAAAAAGCAAACAGACATTCCAGAACTAATATGCTACCAAGAGGAACAGGGAATGAATTGAATCAGTGACTTTACAGGTACCATGATTATCTCTTGGTTTTGTTTATTTGTTTGTTTTGGGATGAAAAGGAGGAGGAGTTTTGTGGCAGTGGTTGAAATGGGGTGCCCCTCTAATTTCAGGTATCTCAAAACTTGATATTCTCTTTTTGACACCATTTGGATGGTTTAGGTGATTTGGGTTCCTAGAGGAAGTACGTCATTGGTTGGAATTTAGGGTTTCAAAAGCCATGAGCATTTCCAGTGCACTCTCTCTACTTCATGTTTGCTGTCCAAGACAAGAACCTCAGCTCTCAGCTTCCTGTTTGAGTTGCTTGTCTGCCTGTGGCCATGCTCCTCTGCTGTGATTGTGAGGATTCTAATCTTGAAGCCCCAAATAAACACATGCTTCCAGAAGTTGCCTTGGCCATGGTTTTATACCACAGCAATAGAAAGTAACTAAGAGAAGAAGTTGGTTTCAGGGCTAGCAAATCATGTAGAGATATCTGAGAAGAGGGAATCTGAATTGAGAAAATGCCTCCATAGATTGGCCTATAGCGTTGGGAAGTCTATGGGACATTGTCCTGATTAACAAATGAATTTCTAGGCCCAAGATCGCCAGGATGGTGCCAGCCCTGAGCTATTCACCATGGGTTATATGAGAAAGAGAAATAGATGCAAGGCAGTAAGCAGAACTCTTGCATGCCTTCTGCTCCAGCTCTAGCCCTCCAGGGTCCTGCTCTGCTTCAGTGGGAGCCCTGCCATTTCTCAGTAATTGACTGCTAACTGGAAGTATATCATGAAGGGAATACTTTCCTCCATAAGCTTATTTTTGTTAGTGTTTCATCACAGCAATAGTCACAAAGTAAGGCACTTGCTAAGTTGAACAATACTGAAAATTGTCTTTTGATTGAGTTGGTGGAGTTAAGTCAACTTTACTAATCACTTACATTCCTTCCCAGGATACACCTAATTTTATGTTTGACCAGTCTTGCACAAGATAGGAAAGAAATGATTATCAGGAAGATCACACTCAGATGATTGCTGTATTTCATATGCAAATAGTTCAGAATGGTTTTGCTTTTTGTTTTCATACCTGAACATATAAAGGAACATATTTGAATAGAATTGTCCATATGGAGGAAGCATTAATAATTGTTATGAATAAAAAAACACATATTTTATTGCTCCATTTGAATTGAACATGCAGCTTGATATAGGCTTGAATTTTATATTGCCAGTAGATAGGTAGTTGAACAGTTTAAAGGGTGGGGGGAGATTGATTTACATAGCCCAAGCCAACTAGAGTCCTAGATGAGTAAGCTATTCCTTGTGCTATACTGCCCCATTGTGAGT